AAGCATAACCAATGGACGCAAAACACTAGGGAGTGAGGGCATGTATTGGGGGCGATGGTAAGATATGTACACATATAATACCTTAATAAAAAAAATAAAAAAAGACAGCTGAAACCGGTTTGGCTCAGTGGATAGAGTGACAGCCTGAGGACTGAGGGGTCCCGGATTCAATTCCGGTCAAAGGCATGTACCTTGGTTGCGGGCGCATCCCCAGTAGGAGGTGTGCAGGAGGCAGCTGATCGATGATTCTCCCTCATGGATGTTTCTAACTCTCTATCTCTCTCTCTTCCCTCTCTATGAAAAATCAATAAAATATATATATTTAAATGACAAAAAAAATAGTGGTTATCTAAAAATTGTGGCTTGTTAACATTTCCATAAGAAACTTCCCAGTAAAGGGACAGTGAACCGCATAGGGACCTCAGAAAAGGCTTCCAACACATGAAGTACTAGATGGAGAAGATAGGAAGTAAAGAGGGGAAACACGTTAGAAACTTGAAGGGGGCGGTGTTATCTGAAAGGTGTCTTAAAGAAAGAACCTGGGCATCCTCTGAGGGAGGGGCTGTCGGACTTCTCCCGCCTCAGGAAGCGCCAAGTCTCAGCAAACGCGAAGGAAAAAAGGCGCCCGGGACAAACGGAACCCCCAGAGGGGGCGGACCTTCCCGTTCCCTCCCGGTCCCGCGGTTGGAAGTACAAACGCGAGAAATAACCAAAGATCCGACTCCAGAGCCGCTCGGCCCCGCGCATCCCTACTCCCCCGACCTTCTCAGGGGCGCCCACTTCCTCCGGGGGGTCCCAGCACCCCGCGGGCGCCGCCGTCCAGACTCCCCAACTGCACCTCCTCTTCCCTCTCCCCTCCCCCCGCAACGAAGCCCGCCCCCAGCGGCCCCCGAGCGCGCCCCTCCTCCCAACGGCCGGCGGGACGCGGCAGGCGGGAGGAAGCTCCGCACCGGCCTCGCCAGTCCGGCCGCCCCCCCGCACTGACCGGCCAGAGAAAGCCGGCCTCCGGCGGCGAGCGCAGCGCAGAACTCCTCGATTTCCTTCCTCCGCGCCGCCGCCGCCGCCTCCGCCGCCGCCCGCGCCTTTTGTTGTCACGGGTTCTCCGGGCAACCGGCGAAGCCCGACGCCGACGCGCCCCCTCCCGGCCGGGCGTCACGCTGGGCACGGGGCCCCGCCCCTCCCCGTCAGGCCCCGCCCCGCCCCGCCCCACCTCACTCCACCCAGAGTTGTAGGTTATGACAGCAAGTTGAAAGGACAAAAGCCTCAATGAATAACAGTACAATTTAGACTTGAGAATTCCTAGGAAAGCCAACCAAACCATTTGTGACAGAGGGTTGTTTGCAGGAACTTAAAAGATATGCCAGCCCCAGAATCTAATCCCATGATGAACTAGAGAGAGGAAGGAAGAGATAGAAACGCCAATGCAACATCAATGGGCTGCCTCCTGTGCGCCCCCTGTTGGGGATCAACCTTGAAATTTGGGCATGTATCCTGATCTGGACTAGAACCAGTGAGCTCTTGGTGCATGGGTTGACATTCAACCACTGAGCCACACCAGCTGGACTATTATTTATTTTTATGTTCCCATTGTTGAGCAATCAGTATTAAATATATAGTAAACATTAAGCTCATTTTATAGATTCAATAAACTTTTATGAAAATAAACATTTAAAAAAAGAAAACAAAAATAAAAACAGAAAACTGAAATGCAGTTTGTATACAAATAGCAGGATACATATTTGATTTTTTCCCCTTTTAGTTATTGATTTTGAGAATAATGAATTGATCAACCAATAGAGTTTCTTTTTTTGGAGTTGAACTCATAGATTTTTGCTTTCAAAATACTACTGTTTTCATTCCTCAAAGCAAGTATATTTAGACTTCTTATTAAATACCATTTGATCCATTGTTTCTTTGGCATTGTTTTGGCATCCTCAAAATTATTGAGACTTACTAATTGAATTCCATTCCCGCAACCAACCCTTAATTTAACCCTTAGTCAGTCAAAATAGGAAAAATAGGAAAAGAAGGGAGAAAAGGGAGAGTTACTAGGTTTTTCCCCCACAGGAAATTGATTAGTTCTTTCCTTAAATTGAATTAGTTATTTCATTGAACCAACTCAGAATGTAGCCTTATGCTTTTCTTAGCTCTTCTTCAGCAGTTTCTACCTTGAAATGATCCCCACTTGCTGAAGAATTCTGAATACACAAAGGTATAGAAGACAAGGTTGTTTGGGCTGCCTGCCATTCCTTCTTTTCTATAAGCAAATCTCCTCTATTTCTTCAAGAACTGCCCCTGCTCCACTTCATAGGCCAGCCAACTATGTGGCCACAGCAGAGGCCAGAGTGGCAGGTGGGGAGGTGCATGGGCACCTGAGACTCAAGCCAGGCTCATCAGCAAAACCTGATTCTTGAGCTATTGGCAAAAATTTGCATTCTGTTGCCTGGGCTCATTAGCTATTAGTTATTTCTTCAACAGAGCAAAAAGAAATACAAAGTATGGTGTCTGGGCAAGGCTAAGGCCAGCTCTTTCCCTAGATTTAGCTTTTTTTTTTTTTTTTTAATCATTACATTTCCCTTTTCAATAAGCTAATTTCAGTCTAGCTTTTTTTCCCCCCCACTTAAAACTAAAATATCCTCCCACAGGCACCCTGTCCCTACAACCAGTCTATAAAGAGAACTATGTGCAAAAACGGAAAAAACTAAAATATCCTTAACCCGAAGAAATCAAAACAGAAAGGAAACAGAAAAGAAGAAATGTAGTGCATAAGAGAAACTTAGATGAACGTTACAATATATATCTTCAAATTTCCAATTGCTTTAGTCAGTGAATTTTATATCTGAAAGGAATCTTGCAAGTGATTTAGTTGCACCATACATTAGGGTTTTTTTTTGTCGGTTTGTTTGTTTTTGGTGTGTGTGTAATATTTTTTTCATTCATTTTAGAGAGGAAGGGATAGAAATATCAACGATGAGAATCATTGCTTGGCTGCCTCCTGCATAGCAATTATTGGGGGGGATGGAGGGAGAGTGGAGGGGAACCGAGCCTGCAACCAGGCATGTGCCCTTAACCAAAATCGAACCTGGGACCCTTTAGTCCATAGGCCAGCGCTCTATCCACTGAGCCAAACTGGCTAGGGCCATTTATTAGTTTTTTATTTTACAGTCAATATCCCTGAGTTAAACCAAAGTTATTTTGCCATATTATTTATCCATACTTGTATTAGTGTTCTCCAGAGAAACAGAATCAATGAAATATGGAGAGTGATAATGACAGATATAGGTCTATTTATAGACCTATAATATCTATCTATTCATTTAAAGAGTCAGATAAACTTATTATATTTTAAGGAATTAACTCAAATGATTATGGGAGCTGGCAAATCCAAAATCTGAAGGGCAGGCCAGCAAACTGGAAATTCAGAGAAGAGTAGCCGAAACCGGTTTGGCTCAGCGGTAGAGCTTCGGTCTGCTGACTGAAGGGTCCCGGGTTCGATTCCGGTCAGGGGCATGTACGTTGATTGCGGGCACATCTCCGATTGGGGGTGTGCAAGAGGCAGCTGGTCGATGTTTCTCTCTCATCGATGTGTCTAGCTCTCTTCCTTCCTCTCTGTAAAAATCAATAAAATATATTTAAAAAAAAAAAAAAGAAAAAGAAATTCAGAGAAGAGTAGATGTTACAGTCTTCAGTCTAAACTCTGCTGGTCAGACCAGCAAGTGGAAACTCAAGCATGATTTCCATATTTGTAGTTATTATGACAAATTTCCAGCAGATGGCAGTAAAGTGCTTGGGGAAAGAATACCTTTTTGAGTTACAGTCACAGGGAACTGGCAGGGTAGATAATAACAAAAATCAAGATTAGAAAGAAGGAAAGGGTGAAAGTGGGAAATAAGTGAGTGGTAGATAATGAGAATTCCGAAATATAAAGTAAATAATCAAATTCATTGTAAACCTTTTAAAATTATATCTGGTCAATTCTAAGTTTTTAAAATCTTTATTCAATTTCAATGTAGTTACATACTCTGAAAGAAAAATAAAACTGGACAGACTGATTTCCTAAATTGAAATTACTATAAACAAAACCCACTATTGCCCTGGCTGGTATGGCTCAGTTGATGGAGCCTCAACCTGCAGACTGAAGGGTCCCAGGAAATTCCAGTCAAGAGCACATGCCTGTTTGCCGGCTCGATCCCCAATAAGGGGCCTGCAGAAGGCAGCCAATCTATGATTCTAAATCACCATTGATGTTTCTCTCTCTTCCTCTCCCTTCCTCTCCGAATCAATAAAAATACATTTTTTTAAAAACTACCTACCATCATTACTAATAAAAACTTAAAAATAAGCTGTCAAAATTTTATATATAATTGCAATAGCAATTATATAGCAAAGACCTTACCCACCCATCTCATATCTCATGATTAAGGTATACAAAAAATTATACCTTGAGAAAAGATACCAATTAAATAGATGAAATACTGTCACTTAAGATTAATTATAAGACATGATTAAGTCCTGACCGATTTGGCTCAGTGGATAAAGCATTGGCCTTCAGACTGAAGGGTCCCAGGTTCGATTCCAGTCAAGGGCATATATCTTAGTTGCGGGCACATCCCCAGTGGGGGGGGTGCAGGTGGCAGCTAATTGATGTTTTCTCTTATCGATGTTTCTAACTCTGTAAAAAATCAAAATTGTATATTTTTTTTAAAAAATACGTGATTAATTTTAAGAAATCTGAAATTTAAAGCATTAAAGTTCCTTCACTATTTCTATCATATGTTCACAAAAAGGAAAAATTGTATCAAACTAAATAAGTAGAAAAAGATAAATTTGGGAATACCGAGTGATACGTCAGGAGAAAATTTTTAAGTGAGACTGGGTAATCAGTGTTCTTGTTGCTGTAACCCTACCACTTTCTCTTAATATCAAAGTGAAATTGTATAAACAATTATGTGATATAAAAATATGCAAGCAGTTTTCTCTGGGTCAATTTACACTTTGGGTCAATAATATATGCAACGTGTTCGATGAAATGGAATTCCTTTCATATCGTCCCTGTGATCACGTGCATAGTCCCATAAGTAATAGTCCAGAAGAATGGAATTGATCTCTTCACTCATTTTTTCACCCTTTTTTTCAATAAGCTCCAGAAGACAATCCCGGATCAGCTCAACACACCAAAGCGAGCACCCTCTGATTTCTACTTCTTGCCTACTCCCATACGAGAGCATTTCTCCTGCAAGGGGAAAACAGAGCAAGAAGCACCAACAGTCAATGATATGAAATCTACTCAGAGCACTACTATAGAACAAAAAACACAGTTTAAAACTGTAAACATATCTATTTTTACTTTTGGTAATTCAAATTATTTCTAAACTCAGGCATTAATTCAAAATTACAAGTTAAGTTCCATGAGGACAGAGATGATGTCTGGCTTGTTTGATTCATTATTCCTAGGACCTAGCATGGCAACTTGTACATACTAGTTCCCAACAAAAATTTACTAAAAGAAATATTATAAAAGTCAGAGGTTTGATTTTCATTTGAAATCTCCTATCAAGTGTTGATAACTAATAAAAATTACTTAAAGCACTCTTCAGGCTAAACACATCGTAGGCCTCTTACACAGATCTTCACAGTACCCGATAAGTGCAATGATCCAGTGAGACTTAGGAAAAATGCCCCAGCCCCACTAGGTTCCACTCTGTCACCTGGGATCTTAAGTAACGTTACTAACGTCCCATCCACCCATCTCTCCCAAGGGCTTAGGCACTGGTCACTGGGGAAGAACCAGTGGAAGAACAGACAATCGCTGTGCCCCTCCGTTTCCTTATTTTTCTCCAGGTGCCAGCACACAAATCCATCCCTTCCTCTTCATTCTGTTTATCAATTCTCCCAATCTTAACTACAACTTGCCTAATTCTCAAATCAACCACAACAGTGATTTTGGAGGTAGATACCCCCACCCAAGTCGAGTCTTTTGATGAGTCCACTACCACAGCTGTCAGCTTGACTGTCACCTTGATCCACAGGCATTCAGTTAGGCAACACCCAATCTCCTGACCCTCAGAAACCGTGAGATGATAAGTGTCTTGTTTTATTTATTTTAAAATATATATATATTTCATTGATTTTTTCAGAGAGGAAGGGAAAAGGATAAAGAGCTAGAAACATTGATGAGAGAGAAACATCGACCAGCTGCCTCTTGCACACCCCTCCCTGGGGATGTGCCCTCAACCAAGGTACGTGTCCTTGGTTCTACCGGAATCGAACCTGGGACCTTCCAGTCCACAGGCCGATGCTCTATCCACTGAGCCAAACCGGTTTTGGCAGGGATCCTTTTTAACCAGAGTTTTTCTCACAGTAGCAGAGACAATTGGATGCTATAAAAATTCAAGAGAAGGAGATGGACAAATCATGAAGAGTCAGGAAAAGCTATGTGGAAAAGGTAGCACTGGAGCTAAGTCTTTGTGGATGTATAGGATTTTAACTGAAAAAAGAACATTTGAATTTGGGTGAGAAAAACCGGGCAAGAAAATGTGTAGAGATAGGAATGAGCAACATATACACTGGCTAAAAAAAGGTCAGCTGACCTTGTCTGTATGCAAAGAAAGCCCTGATTGCTAACAGTTGTCCCTTTTAAAGATATCCAACAATGAGCCGGGACATGAGCATTATGACATAAAATGGCTTGTTATTTTTCAAATAAGGAAACAGAGAGACAAAGTGGATTGCCCAAGGCAGCATTAAAGCCTGGAAGAAGCAACCACAGGAATAATGGTCCTTTATATTCTGTATTATTCTTATTTTCAGTGATTAAAATCTATTTCACAAGAGAAAATCATGCAACATAAAAAATGACTTTCTTTTAAAAATAAAGAAAAAAGTAGCTGAAAATATAGCACCCAAGAGAGAAATTAGCATTAAAATTTTACAATATAATTATTTTCCTTACACAAAGAGATGTTTAAGAAACAAAAAGCTAATTTTCTCACAAACCCAATTATTTGTACTCTAATATTATAATAAGGCTTCCACGCTTGAGAATCAATCATCAAATTCAATAATGGTAAATAAACAAGCCTTGAAAAGTGAGTGACTGGAGCATTTGAAATCTTGCTTCCCGGCATGTCACCAGTTTGGCTCAAATAAACAAATAAGCTCATACAAATAAAAATTAAAAAAGAAAGAAACTGAGTGACTTGTGAAGATAATCTAGTGGCAGACCTTGGAGCCTCCAAACTAAAACTCCACTACCTGTTACCTCTCAGCCCATATTTTATTTCACATCGTAGTTTGTTCTTCGGCTTACTGCTCGTCAAATACTACACTTGAACTGTCTTAGTGCTGCACACCTTTATATAATAGAAATTTAGATTTCACTCTATTATGATGCTCTAAAATGATAACATCTTAAATAGCGCACTTTCCCCACAATATCCATATTCCATAATGTAACAACAAAAGCAATTTTCTCCGTATTTTAATTGCCCTTGCATTTTTTTTCTTTTTTTTTAATGTGCCTCAGGCATGAAACAGCTCTGGCCACGGACACAGGCATCAAGCTAGGATGAACTAAGGGCTGTACATCTGCTTTGCCCCTGATTGATACAAGAGCAACACCACCAATCAGGTGTCTCCTTGCCCATTGCCAGGGGTAATGTATGTTTTTAACAATAAGTATTTCTTTTTTTTTAAGGAAAGGAGACCTTTTGTGAAAGAAACTGGAGATTCAACAATAATTCACAGTATAACAAAGGATGTCTTAATTAAGCTGACAGACCTTTGAGAAGCTTCTCCAGGAGTTCTTCCGAGTACTTCAGGGCTCCCAGGTGAACAAGCACCTGGGGCAATCTATAGTCAGCAAACATGGTGATACTGGAGATGTCCTTAAAGCAGCCGTCCCCTTCTCCCTCCAACACACTCCACGTATCTGCCACAAGGATTTGGGCCCGTTTGTAAAAAGAAATTCTTTTCCCCTGATGAGTGAAGAGAATATAAATGTTATCTTGGTATCTCAAAGCCTTATGAAATGCTATAAAAAAAAAAAGACATGTTGAAAATACTTTTCAAGGGAAAAATAATCTTTCTCTGTTGGTAACAGACATTTTACCAAAAAAAAAAAAAAAAAAAAAAAAAAGAGAGAGAGAGAGAGAAAGGGAGGGGGGAGAGCAATAAATATTATCTCTATCGCTCCAAATTTACTTCCTATATTTTTCAAGGCACATAAAATACCACTTATGTAATCATGATACTTTTTTTTAAAATATATATATTTTATTGATTTTTTACAGAGGAAGAGAGAGGAATAGAGAGTTAGAAACATCGATGAGAGAATCATCGATCAGCTGCCTCTTGCACACCCCCCACTGGGGATGTGCCCACAACCAAGGTACATGCCCTTGACCGGAATCAAACCCGGGACCTTTCAGTCCGACGCTCTATCTACTGAGCCAAACCGGTTTCGGCTAGTGTTCTTTTTCAATAGTGTTACTTCATGTACATATTTATTTTTGATAGTATTTCTTCTGAGAGTTTATATGTTTTTCTAATTGCAACATAATTCACATTAACTGCATAAATACAGAAAAGCATAAAGAAGAAAATAATCATCCCTAAACTCACCTTGGAAAAGAATCACAACATTCATTTTTGCCTGTTTCCTTTCAGATAATATAATTAACTTATTCACAGATAAAGACATAATTGACCAACAACTAGAATTTATCTGCCGCTTTTGGAAATGGTCAAATATGTAACAAAAGTAAACTACCAATTATATTTATACATGGAAGAAAAAAATTAACTCAGCATTACAAGATAGTGGGTTATAATTTAACTCAAAAATCCTCTACAGCCGAAACCGGTTTGGCTCAGTGGTAGAGCGTCGGTCTGCGGACTGAAAGGTCCCAGATTCGATTCCGGTCAGGGCATGTATGTTGGTTGCTGGCACATCCCCGGTAGGGGGTGTGCAAGAGGCAGCTGGTCGGTATTTCTCTCTCTCCACGTTTCTAGCTCTCTCTCTCTCTCTCCCTTCCTCTCTGTAAAAAATCAATAATAATAATTTTAAAAAGTCTTTTAAATTTAAAAAAAAAAAAAAAAGAACACATGAATTAAAAATAAAATTGAAAAAAAATCCTCTAAATATACAGGATGAGGCAAAAGTAGGTTTATAGTTGTTTTTTGGAAATAATACAATAATAAGTAATAATTCAAGAATAAACTCTGTGTTTGGTGTACTCACAACTATAAACCTACTTTTACCTACCCTTATATTCAAATGGGACGGGAACTTGATCCATTTCTTAAAACAAGGCTGAAATTATGTACTTTGAAGACAAATCTCAAAGTAACCTCTGCATTAGCAAAATGGTTAGTTAAAACAGAATGAAGTTCAATAGTAAGCTAACCTATGGACTCTATTCTAAGAACTTCTCTGCCCATCCACACACCCTGAAAGCCATATCTAAAGGTCACAATCTCTGCCAGTTCAATAGTCCTTGCCCATAAGTTTTAGAACTGGAACAGAGAAAGTCTGTCTCTCTCTCTCTCTCTCTCTCTCTCTCACTGAAACTGAGAAAAATCTGTCTCTCTCTCTGTCTCTCTAAAACTGAGAAAGTCTCTGTCTCTGTCTCATCCCCACCCCACACCCCCTGCTGCCCTCCAGAAGCAATAAGATGCAAAGTTCATAGATCTTCATGGAAAAAGCTGGTCAACAGTAAGAGAAAAATGGAGTCAACAGAAACTAAAAGAAGACACTGAATCCTGATGGCACTGAGCCCTTGATTGATCCTGGATGTGCCTATCCAAAATACCTTCCAAAAATTCTTCTTTTTAATACGTTTTTTTCTAGTTTTGTTCCTGTCATTTGCAAATAAAAAAGAAAATTACATACATAATCAGGCCATCTCTAACTTTACAGCAAACTATTATCTAAATAACCTAAGATAAACTAGTTAAACTTTCTTTTTCAACTGGTTCCTGCTGCAAAGGAGACAATATGCCCCTTGTCCTTAGGCTCTAAAGAGCAATTTAATCAATATTATGGTTAATTTTAGTTGTTGAAATGTGACTACAAAAAGGAAGCTTGAACATTAAAATTTGACTTAAGAATTCGTTAACTTAGGCAATAAGTCAACAGATTTATATTATGTGAATCCACTGAAGTTGCTTTCAATTGTTGTCACAGTTAAAATATAGTGATAAGATTCTAAATCTTTACATACCTGGAATGTTATACAAAATGCTCACCATTTTTAAAGTAAATATTTTTAAACTATTTTGTACCATAAAGCAATAATACTGTCAAAGTACTCTGTCCATGTAAAGAAAAATCCATTATATATATACATATATATATCAGACTCTGCAAAAAATACTTTTTATTTTTTAATATAGAATTATTTAAAAATTATTAAATAATTGTTTAAATATATTTAAATAGAGAATTTAATAAAATAACTATTTAAATATACTTAGAGAAAATTTATTATACATTCTGATTTTCATCTAATGAAGTAGATTTTTTAAAGTATTAAAAGGACCTCTTTATCCCTAAGTGACAACATCATGTTCAAGGTTCAGTGTTGTATTTAGGTCTGAAACATTATAAAAGGACAACCAAAAAAATGAAAATAAAAAGGACAACAAAAAAAGGACAACAGAATTATGAGAATATACTGATTAGAAATCACTAGAGAAGTAATCTTTAAAACACCACTTGTTATATTCCTTGTCCACAAGAACAAATTTCAAAATTTAACTTTTTATTCTCAAAAGAAAGGAGTTCCAGAAATAAGAGTCCACAACAGACTTGACAATGAATAGATAATCAAGAATTCTAAAATCCCTGGGGACTCTTTCCCACTCCCCACTGTGCCGAGATTCCTTCCTCTTCCTCACGTAGGAACCTGTATTTGTTCTTCAATCAAAATTCCACCTTTGCTATTAAAAAAAAAAAAAATTCTAAAATCCCCAACTAAAGCAACTCACCTCAAACTCAGTCACATCTCTGTAAGAGGGAAAGTTTTCAACTACCAGATGCATTAACTTCTGTGCACTTTTTTCACTTTTTCGGACACAATTAAGAAAAGAGCCTTCAAATTTCTCAAGCAAGATTTTCCCGGTTTCATTGAGAATCCGATGCCTCTCTTCTATCAAAGGCATGGGAACATCCGTGTCAGATCGAAGAATATGCCGAACTTGATCCAGGGACACTGTGGCATAGTACGAAGCAGTAGTTATTGGTATCCCTTGGGGAGAAAAGAAAACCCAGAGAAACAATGTCATATTTTTATATTTATTATATCCTTTCTTTTGCAACACACAGTTAATATGAAACTACATGTGTTAGGGGACTGAACTAAAAGTGGATGACTAATAAAAAAAACCAAAAAAACCGACAAGGTGCCTCATTTTCTATGTATTCATCTGTACTGTTGCATCCTTTTCTAACAACTGTAATATGACATCAGGTGTATTTTGGCTATGTAAAATGTGTTATATATTGTTCTTAAGATTTCATCAGACTGGCTTTTGTGCTTGGTTGCGTTAATGATATCAGGATCAGTTCCCACTGAACAAGGATGTTTAATGCCAGCCTCTTATCATACTTTTATTTTAAAGCTGAGGGGCTGGCAATGAAGAACTTTAACACATTATTCCATCTCCCACCCCGCTCGGTGGGACCCTTCCGGAAAGCTGACGCCGCAAAGGCGGCGGATCTGCCGGGCAGAAGGGGCGCCCACCTTCGTCCAGGGCTCTGTTGATGGCGGCGCACAGGGACCAGTACCCGCTGTACGTCCTGCCCCTGAAGCCCACCAGGCACTTGCGCTCCTCACGCTCCGACCAGAAGGAGAAGTTGAGCGTGTCGGCCACGAACACCCAGTTGACCGCGGCCTCGTCGGCGGCCCTGGGGTTCAGCTCGTGGAGGGCCTTCCAGCCGCCCAGGCGCAGCTCGGGCCCCGCCGCCTTGGCGAGCAGCAGCTCGGCCACCCTCCGCACGCCCCCGCCGTCGATGGACACGTCCTGACTGTTTTCAGCGATGAACTTGGCGGACTCCCGGGGAGTCAGGGGCCCGTCCATCTCACCCCTCCTTTGGGGGACCAGGGAACGACACCTATGCCGCCGGCAGGACAGCAGAACTCCCTTTCCTCTGCGGCACCAAGGACTGGGATGTCCGCGGGAACCGCTTCTCCTCTGTTCCCTCAGGGCAGCCGCACTTCCGGGAGAGCGGCCCCGCCCACTCCCTCCGGGGCGCGCGCCGGAGTCCGTTTCCGACGTCGCCGGTCCGCCGGAAACGCTCCCGGACGGCCCGGCGCGCGCCGGCCCGAGTCGCCCACCCTGCGCCGTGCGGCTACGCCATTTTGTCCGAGTTCCCCCGGCCCTGCCTCCCTGCGGGGTCTGAGGTCTGAGGTTCGCTTCCTGAGCCGCAGTTGCACCGACTCCCGTGGATGTACCGCTTTCCTCCACTTGGCTTCCGCTTCTCCTCTCTCCGAGGGCGACGTCTGGGCTGGACGCTGCCCCGCATCCGGAGCCTCGGGCCGCGATTACTAGACGGCCTTCTAAGGCTGCGACCCGGGTCGAGGGCCCCCCATCCCCATCCCCATCCGTGCCTCATCTTTCTTTTTACTGAATTCCTGGCCCAATAATCGGTTGGAACATTTGGAGAAATGAATGAACCTAGCAAGTATGTGTGAAATCATTAAATGACCTGGAATTGTACTTAAAAACTGAATCTCATTTAGTGTTGGTCGAGGCAAAGTTATCCATAAGTCCGCGTTTTGCAAGAAGCTGGGATTTGAATCCTTGGTCAGCGATTCCCTCAAGCCAAGGAAGGGCACTTTTCTGCAAACCAAGCTTATCAATCAATGTGCACTGGTATTGTCAAGTAATGACTTTATCAATGGTCCTACGGAGACAGAGGAGATGGGTATTACCTTACAGCCCCAAACTTTTTAAACAATACTTTTTTAGGATGAGGAGAGAGGTATTGAAAGCCAATTTAGTGATGAAACACATTTGCCTAGTGGTGAAAAGTTAGTATAGAGGCATATTCTTTTTTCTCCTTCGGAGACAAGCCACTATGGATAATATAAAATGTTTACACATTTGAAAATCAACTATTTTTTTAAAAAATCAGTAGACTCTAGTTACTGACAGTAAAAAAACACACACACAAAAAAACGAATCTTTGGATGATTTGAGCTTGTAAGTTTTGACAACTGCCTCTAGGAAGAGAACTTCATCTCCCCAGTTTCTTCATTTTGGCAAGAAAAAGGAACTTAAGAGACTTCACTGATTTACTTTTCCTGAAAAAGTCACTAGTACATCAATATAGTTGTTGAATAAATGTACATCTGTGGGCTTGGAATTTTTCCTGTGTACCCCAGCAGCTCTAAAGTTTTGGGAGTCAAAGAAGTTGATTAAAAAGAAAATCTAGCAATCTGCAAAAAAAAAAAAAAAAAAAAAAAAAAAAAAAAAAAAAAATCTAGGAAGCTAAATTAAGCCATTTTATCTCACTGAGACTTTTACTGATTTAAAAAAATCAACAATTTGAATTCCTACTATATTAAGGATTGAGTTAAAACAGTAGGAGTAGTATAAACAAGAGTAAAACATACTTCCTTCACTCAAAACACTTATTGTTGAGATGAAGCATAAACTGTGTTTGTGGGTGTTCTGTTTTGGCTTTTAAGTTTGTCTACAAGATGTTGGGAATACAAAAAGTGAGCTGTTCACATACTCAACATCTTTTCCTGCCTCCCTTTCCAAAAGAACCCTGCTGTTCAGGAATCCCTCCCTCCCACCCACACCTGGTGTAGCTCAGCCTCCTGGGTTCCAGGTGTGGTCTGGCCTGGTCTAAGGATAATAGAGTCTCTTGCCAGGGACTGGATCAGGATCATGCATGCACCCCATTGCACCTCAATGAGTTTCAAGGAGAGGTTTTCAGGATCCTTTCAGAAAAACTTTTCCAGAGGAACTTCCAAAAGTGATCTACACTCCCACTGGAAGTTGTGACATATGTAATGAAATTCCTCCAGTGCTTTTGATGGCAACCTGAGTATATGAAGTCAACACACAGGGGAGGTCAAAAGAATAGCAGAAAGCCCTAGCTGGTTTGGCTCAGTGGATAAAGTGTTGGCCTGTGGACTCAGGGGTCCCGGGTTCAGTTCTGGTTAGGGCACATGCCTGGGTTGTGGGCTCAATCCCCCCTTAGTAGGAGCCGTACAGGAGGCAGCCAATCAGTGATTCTCATCATTGATGTTTCTATCTCTCTTTACCTCTCCCTTCCTCTCTGAAATCAATAAAAATAAAAATAAAAAAAAGAATAGCAGAGAAATGTAACTGGGATAATGGGATCACGTCAACTCTTAGGTCTGTCCTACTTTTGGATCTCCAGTTATGGGAGTTCATAAACTCCTGTATAGCTTAAAGCAGTTTTGAGTTGAATTTTCTATCTTACACAGATAGCAAATATAGACATGGTACCTCACATGATATAGTGGGAAAGACAGACAATCAAATATCTGAGTAGGATTGTACTTCACACAACAGAAAACCAGACTGTCATGACTAAACAAAAGGGATTGTTTTTTTATTTAGTATGTCTAGAGGTAGGTACTCCAGTACTAGTGCAGCTATTTGAGAACTAGGCTTCTTGCTTTCAGCAAGAAATATAAATGGGCATGGCAACTATTTATTAAAAAAAAAAAAAAAAGATATATATTTTTAATATATCTTTATTAATTTCAGAGCAGAAGGGAGAGGAAGAGAGAAATAGAAACATCAATAAGAGAGAATCATTAACTGGCTGCCTCCTGCACGCCCCCTTACTGGGGGTCGAGCCCCCTTCACTGGAATAGAACCTGGGACCTTTAGTCCACAGGCGGATGCTCTGTTCACCGAGCCAAACTGGCTAGGGTACCACTTTATTTCTTTATGAGAATAACAGTATAAAGAAAGCTCTTCAATTTACCCTTTCGTCTAGAACTTCTAAACACCACATGGTCAAGGTTGACCTGAATTAACCCCCGTGAGACCAAGGAGCCCCCACTAACAGTCATTTTAGAAAAGATCAGCTATCTGGAGTTGCTGCTCTTACTAATCATCCCCCACTTGCCCTGCACCCAGCTGAACCCAAGGGTTTATGAGGGACCAAGCTGGCACCTTTTACTCTACTGTGCCTGCCAATCTCCCTCCTTACTATCAAAATGACTTCTCCCTCTTTTGGTCTGATAAACAGCTGTCACATGCCTTTCCATCCCTAACCTACAGACTCTTTGGGGCATAGACTTCAGGAAGAAAAGGGGAAAGAGTGATAGGATGAACAAAAGGGGAAAGTGTTTGATAGGATTTTGAAGTGACAATGCCTTTTATTTCCCTCAAAATTATAGGTCTGAGGGTTACAGGTCTGAGTGTGGGGAATCAGGGAGAAATGGGGTGGGACTGTTGAGAGGACAGAAAATCCTTATGAATTCTGGCCAAAAATATGAGGTGGAAGCTAGAAAGTTTTCAGGTCATAGAATAGCTGCTATTTCAATTTACCCCAATTCGGTTGCTAGTGCCAGTTGGCAAACAAGGGAACCGAACCCCACATAACATTTGCATTTTGTACATTCAACCACCCAGCTCAGCAAATTAGCTTCCCATTTTAAATATGGGCAAATATATAGTATAACTACTGACTTTAATTTTCCAGGTAGTCCTTTCTCTCCTCTTCCTCATGTCAGAAAAGTAAATGCTAAAGCCTGCCTTGGGCAAATGATGTCCATCTGTGAGCACAAGCTCATGTCTTTTTCATCTGCTAAGAACAGAGGGCAGAAGTTTGTATCAACAAACAGGGACTTTCCCAGTTTTACAATGTTGTTTGAAGCAACATGACATGATTGTGAATGTACACATGTACACACATCTTACAGTCCTAAAAAGTTTCTTTTTCCTCATTATCAATTTGCTATAATTATTGGATTTTCTCTTCAAATAGACCATTTTTGTTAACCACGGCACCCTCAGGGTCTACTGTCCCTGTACACACTTAAGGAACTAAATACATTCCTTTGAATTAATGAAAAGGTATGGAAATATATTTATGGTTCTTACTATACATATAACCTAGTTGCAGACAAAAGACCCTTTCATCCCATTATCAAAATAATTAAACCCTTTGCACCCAGACCTTAGGTGGTCTTGGAAAGGTAGAGGTGATAAAAAGACCTTTTAACAATTTCAACTGTTAACCCCAGGCATTGTTAAATGTGCAGGTTCTTTTTATTGTTGGCTCTATTACAGATGTCCCCCATTCCCACCCCGCTTTGCCCTGTCCCCCGGAGGTCTTCACCGTTTTATTGCTAGTATTCACAGATTATGCATATATGCATAGGTTGTTTTTCTAATCTCATCCCATCCTTCCCCTCCCACTTCCCCTTTAAGATGTCATTCTTGCCAAAACTGGTTTGATAACCAGTGGATAGAGTGGATAGAGTGTCAGCCTGCAGACTGAAGGGTCCCAGGTTCGATTCCAGTCAAGGGCAGGTACCCTGGTTGCGGGCACATCCCCTGTAGGCCCTGTGTGGAGGGAGGCAGCTGGTCGATGATTCTCTCATTTATGTTTCTAACCATCCCTCTCTCTTCCTCTCTGTAAAAAAAAAAAATCAATAAAATATATTTTAAAAAAGAAAATCTCAGTCTTTCATTTATCCATGCTTCTGGTCCTATTTTATTTTGTTCTTTATATTCCATATATAAGTGAGATCATATGATATTTGTCATTCTCTGACTTATTTCACTTAGCATAACACTCTCCATTTTCCTCCATATTATCTTAAAGGATATAAGATCCATTTTATTTTTTTATCCTCACCCAAGATTAGTTTTTCATTTATTTCTAGAGAAAATGGAAGAGGGAAAGAGATTGATGTGAGAAACACAATTGGTTGCCTTCTGCACATGCCCTGACCAGGGCCTAGGCCCGGGAGTCTGCAACCAAGGTACATGCCCTTGACTGTAATGGAACTCAGGACTCTGGTCTGCAGACCAATACTCTATTCACTGAGCCAAACTGGCTAGGAAGCAGTGGTTCTCAACCTTTCCAATGCTGTGACCCTTTAATACAGTTCCTTTTGTTGTGGTGACCCCCAACCATAAAATTATTTTCGTTGCTACTTCATAAGTAATTTTGCTACTGTTATGAATGGTAATGTCGAGACCCACAGGTTGAGAATGGCTAGTAGGGTCGCCTAAGACTATTGGAAAACACAAGATATTTACATTACGATTCGTAATAGCAAAACTAGTTACGAAGTAGCAATGAAAATAATTTTATGGTTGGGGGTCGCCACAACATGAGGAACTGTATTAAAGGGTCAGCATTAGAAAGGTTGAGAACCACTGGGCTAGGGCAAGAGAACATTCTCCCCTACAGTTTAGTATTCCATGGTGTAAATGTGTGCAGTTCCAGACCTTGGCTACTGTAACACCGCTATGAATATTGGGGTGCATATACTGATTGGTATTTTGGGATTCTTAGGACATATTCTTAGAAGTGCAATCAGTTCTTTTTAATTCAAAATGGTATTTTATTATTGATTTTAGAGAGGGTGAAACATCAATGGGAGACTCATTGATCAGCTGCCTCCTGCATGCCTGTGCTGGGGATTGAGCTCCCAATTTAGGCATATGCCCTGACTGGGAATCAAATCGTGACCTCCTGGTTCATAGATTGGTGTTCAACTGGCTGGGTCATTTTTAATTTTTTGAGGAGACTCCATACTGTTTTCCAGTGGCTGCACCAGTCTGCATTCTCATGAACAGTGTACCAGGATTCCCCTTTCTCCATATCCCCTCCAGCACTTGATCAGATAGTTGCCATTTTGACAAGTGTGGTGTGATACCTCATTGCCATTTTTATCTGTATCTGATCATAGGTGACCTTGAGCATTTTTTCATGTCTATTGGGCATCTGCATGTCAAACGTGCAGATTCTTGATGCCTCTTTATAGTGACTGATTTGCTAGAACTGAGGGGTGGGCCATTTTCATGTTTAACCAGCATTGCTGATTTTGAAGATGGTCCTATTAAACAGTTTGAGAAACACTGTGATTCTGCTTTGAACAAGTTCAAGTCACCCTCAAGAATGGTTAGTTTCGCTTCAAACTTGCCAGCAAAGGGCAAACATTGACAAAAAACAGATATAACCATAGTATTTAAAGTTTAATTTAGCCACAAAGATTAAACCCCTTTCCAAAATTCTGATGGCACTAAACGTTTTTTAAACCAACCTTATGGACTTATTTTCATTGACCTGAAAACAAAATTTAATATAGGCCTAGTTGAAATTCATCCATGCACTGAAAGGTTGTGGGTTTGATCACCAACCATTGTTTCTCTCTTCCTCTAAACATGTTTGCTGGTGAGGAATAAAATATAGGCCTCTTCAGTGGCAAACTTAAGCAAATCACAACCTGTCATGTTTGTGAACAGTAATTAATCTAAAACACTGGAAAACAAACCACTAAAATGATTGAAAATGGAAGGGAAACGTCTAGCTCATGGCCTCATATACCTGTGAAATCATTTGGTCTGGCCCTACCAAGGCATTAGGGGCGAGTTAAATGTTTGACCAAATATAGCAGGCTAATTTTTAAGTTGATAATTTTGTATGGCCTATAAATGAGGTTATATCCAACCTACCCTTGGCAGGAAAATGGTTCCCCACCCGCTGTAAAATCTTGGTACAACCTGATTTCCACTGTTGTCATTTTGGTACTTATCAGAAAATCAAACTAAAATCTGAAACCTCCCATCTTTACTTATACTAATGAAAAATAACTTGTTTCACTTACTTATGCATTTATTGGTTAATTATTATGTGCTAAACTGGGATTGAATCCACAATCTTGATGTTAACAGTATGACATTGATTGAGCTACCCCAAACAAGCGCTGTTTACATTTTTAAAGTTGCAAATTAGCATATGTACTTGTTATAAAATTTATTCAATGTTGCATTTAGTAATTTCTAACTTCAGAATTTTTCTCAATTTAACTCAATCCCCAGTCTACATTCAAGTTCACCCTTTACCAATGCCAGATACTCTCCAATTCTTTAGGTTCATGTGTTTAGCCTGAATTATTTTTAGAAGGCAAAAATTAAAACTTTCAGTTACTCATATATATATATATTTACATAACTAATTTTTGAATGACTAATGAAATCTTTCAAAACCAATGTTTGCTCCAGGAATGCTTTCCACAGTTGGAATTTGTCTAAATGTCATTCCCCCTCGCCTTTTCTCTGGGGGAGGGGGACTCATTTCAACACCAGCTGTACTACCCTCAGCAATCCCAATGTGGCAACTCAGCCTGACTTCACCTCTTGGGAAAACATTAAAACTAGTATTCACTCATTTTAAGCAATGTGACACTATGTACTTCATTATCAAAAGACCACTCAATTCCTCTCTCCTAAAAGGGGAGTGTTACTGAAATACTAATAGCCTTAAATGGCACATTTGCATGCATCATTATGTATTCAAGAAAAACTGCCCACTTCACATTTGTCTATTATGCACAAATTTCTTTCCTAAATGTAAAGCAAAACTATCCCCATGAAAGTTCTCATGCCTTCTGGATAGTTGGAGGTCAATAACAAACTATTTTAGAAATTTATGAATCAGGAACCATACACTATTTTAATATTCTCAAACATCAAACTACAACTAATTCTATAGATAGAAACCAGACTCAAAATTTCTCATTTTGAGAAATGTGATGGGAGAACAAGAGCTGTAAAATTACATGACTCAGCTCCCATTATGCAATACTCCCTCTTTAAGATTAAGAGCCTTACTGCTAAAATTGTCTTTACCACCCCTACCAAATTTCATTTATAAATGCTAGAAAAACACTTCACACAAAAAATATGTAATTTAAGATTACTATATTTCCTTACAAGAGGAACGGTTTAACAAATTTTACAGTTGTCAATCAACCCTTGCTCAAACTGGGCACACATCAAATCTAGCATTATGGGAGTTTTATTCGGAAGTGAACTTAACTATTAATACAAACGTCAAGATACTACACAAAACATCCACAGGAACTCCCCCCCCCCTTTTTTGAATTGTTCACAAACATTTCCTCCATAATCCAACATACAACAAAGAAATGGTACATCTTTTTCTTTCACTTTGCATACAATGGAAAAACAAGAATATATATATATTTTACAGTTTAACTAATAGACACTAAGCAGGCTGACCGTTTAAATTTGTTGATAAGAAATTATCTAATAAAAAATAACCAGAATTTATTTAGCATCAGTCACTTCCATAACCAAGTATTACTCCAATTAATAAAACTTGCTACCAGGCTCCTGGTATACATTTATACCATTACTTAATTTTTAGTACTGCTCCCCACCTTGGTTCTTCACAATTACTAAATAGGAAACTGTTGCAAAGTAGGGGTAAGCATTTACAAAAACAAAATCCCCAGCTTATTATAAGTTTGAGTGCATGTGATAGAATTTCTTCCCAAGCAATGGACATTCAAACCATCCAGAAATCACCAGAACTGAATTTGCAAAGATTATTTTTTTTGCCTAAGTCCAAGTCCAATAGAGGAGCTGAAAACCAAACTTAGTGTTTAGTTGGGGGTAGGTTGGAGAATTCAGCCATTTGAAAAATGACCATCTTAAAAAAAAAATGACCACCAAAAATAGGTTCACTAAATTTATTTTAAAAATCATAAAACGTTTCTTACAAAAGAGCATTACATTCTGCACACTGCTCTGAATAGATGGCAGGGACATATGGACTATTATTACTTTTCCTCCCTGTCCCACCCTCCCCCGCAATGTTACAGTGACCACAAAGCAAAGTGTTCACAATAATTACATAGGGGGACTTTTCTAACCACCAACAATGAACAAAAATTAAAATTCACTCACTCTGCTGCTGTTTCAAAATTTCAATGTTAGTTTTTGCACACCCTCCCTCCCCCCACCCTGTTTGTAAGGAACTAAAACATTACATCTGGTGAACAGCAAAGATTTCACTACACCTCAAATGCAGAACACCTATGAAGCAGAGGAATGTTGGCTTTTTAAACAGAAGCAGATAAAAAAAAAAAAGATGCAGGACTCCTTCAGTTCTTCACTAGTCTTAGAAAAACTTTCCAGAATACTGCTTCACACTATAAAAAAGAAAAAATATCTTGCATTAGAATCCTTCAACATCTGCATACTGCTTCACACTATAAAAGAAAAGAAAAAAAAAGTACGAATTAGAATTTTTGTTCGTAACATCTTCATCAACATTAAGACAATTTCAATGCTAAATTAAAGCGATAAGCATGTCATTATAAATTAGAAATAAGAATTAAAACAGTAATTACAAATTAGAGCAATGTAAAATTCAAGAAAAAAAATGATTAATAGTGAACCAGACATTAGTAGAGCAGAATTAAGAAAATGAAACAAAAAGTTGTTAATATTTGGTAGAAAAAGACAAGAAATGCCAGTGAAGGTGTGAAATGCTGCATTTTACAGCACCAATCATTTGTCCTGTAGAGGCATGGCCTGTGCCATATGGCAGACTGTGATTTGTTGTCGATTTAGTTATCTAAAAACAACAAAATCACTAGTCTTCCACACAGAACTAGACCAACATCCATTGAATCTTCTACATTTTCTACAGGCTTTGTATAATTTATAACAAGTGGTTTTGGCAGCAGTTTTCACCAGAGAAATAAGAAGTTTGCTTGGTTAAGGCTTCTTCCAGCAAGATTAGTACTGAATGTCTCCGTTTTTAGTAAGAAAGCAGAAGAAAATTAAAGCAAAACTATTAGAATGTTTAGAAGTTAGGTCCCCAAAAGGTTGAGACACCATGGCTTCTAAAAGAAAAATCAATTGAGAAGAAAAGCTTTTTAAAGTTTTAGTACGTGTAGGCTAACATGAAGCTAAACCTAAACTGACCTGTTCTGCAGCAAATACTGTGCATTCTGTATCTGGTCCTGTGTTCCTGTAATGGTAATGATCCGATCTTCGGACCCTTCTAAAGGCTCATCAATTTTGATCGAAGCTCCTGACTCATGACGAATTTGTTTAATCCTCTGACCACCTTTGCCAATTATAGATCCAGCCAACTGAAAAAATTTTCAAAAACAAGTTTATGGTGTACTTTAAAAGAAATCACATTAACTATATTTTAAATGACCTTCAAGAATTTAACTTTGTAGTTATTTATTCTGAATCTTAATGCCTTCCGGCCTCCCCAACTAGTAAAGATTTAAGTTACCATGCAATTACTTCAACATTTTCTTAATGAATCAAGGGCTCAAAACTATCTAACAGCTTTTGATAGTACTGGACAACACCTGACAAATCCCAAATTGGGAGAAAACCCCACTGAAATCCTTAAAAAACACAACTTTAATCTTAAAATGGAATATTTGTTAAAATCTTTTATTAAAGTTAGAGGACTTAAAATAATCAAATGTTTATTGTTAATACAGTAAAGATACTTACATCTTTGGGAATAGTTACTTGTGTTGTAATAATAGGTCCACCAAGATCACCATATGAGCCACGACCCCCTGCATAGGAATAATCTGATTTAAATAATGAGCATTAAGTTCTCTTAGAAAGCATAAAATAATGTTTGATTTCACAAAGGAGAAAACTTACCATATCCAGAGCCACCCTAAAAATGGAAAGAAAAAAAATGGAAAATTACTTTGCCTTCAAGACTATTTTTCAGATATCTTAGTATTCCTAAAATTCCTCAGTTTAGGAAACTAAAGTCCCATATGTTCCCTAGTAAATATATTTCAGAAGGCAATCCTTAGGGCAAGAGACCACAGGTACACAGTAAAGAAAGAAAAATAGTAAGGAGGAAAAAAAAAAAGACACTTATTTGTGAATAGGCAAACATCTTAATTATTACTGATATGAGTTCAAACAACCAGGATACTCAACCTGTGGTTCATAAGCCATCTGCCATTCTGAAGGGCTCCATGTATCTATTGCAGAGTCCCAAGTTTCATCAGCACTGAAACCAACCTGTGTTGAGACAAGGAACTGTTAATATGAACCTGGCAGGATATTTTTGTCAGTTACTACTTTTATATGCCTGATTTATATTTCTACAATACATACTTTGGGGAATAATGATGACTCAATAAAGTCTAATCCAATAAAGAACCAAAATTATGTAAATGGCTATCTAAGGAGTGAATTTGTAAGACAAGCTTTTCAAGCAACATTTTTTTTGGGGGAAAAATGTTAATTACACATACTTTTAGATGCCTTACATACTGAAATATACATTGATGACAAATGAAAATTCTTACCATGCCATCATAACGATCTCCAGGTCTTCCTCTTCTGTCATAGGCCATTAGATCCCTGCAAAAACAGTACTGGTTGTAATTTCAGCTTATTAACATCACACACATCAAATGAAAAAAAAAAAAAAGAAAAAAAAAAAAAAAAAACCTAACCCCGCTCACCCCCTAAACTGCAGCCTCTTGTATATTAGTAACATACAGATGAAAAGAAACTTACCCTCCTCTAGGCGGTGGTGGTGGAGGAAGAGGAAGATTGCGAGCTCTGCTACCACCCCGGCCACCTCGTCCAGGAGGAGGGGGAGGAGGTCCTCGCCGAGGGCTCATATCATCATAATCTCTTCTAGATGGAGGCATGGGACGCCCACCCCGACCAGGAGGCATTCTGTCAAAACCACCTCTTCCCCGCATGGGAAACCCCACAGGACGGCCACGGCGGTCATCGAACATCATTGTAAAGCCACCATAATCATAAGTTTCATCATAGAAGTTGGGATCATAAGGCTGTGCACGTCCTTTGATGGGCGACTAAAATAAAAACAGCAATATTACAGACCAAAGTAAAATAGACTTGATAACAAACCACTCTTTTTACAAACAAACTATCTAAAGTCCTTTATTTTTCCTGGGAGGTACTTCAGACAGGACAGGAATATGAACAAAAACATAGTAAGGAAATAACTGGAAAAAAATGCATTATTTTTGTGTGAGTACTAAATAAAAAGTGAGCTTTATGCTTGGGGAAGTAGCAACTTGCTACTTTTACCAGACAATCTTAAGGGACTACAACCCCTTTTCATGTTTCACAATGGGGTCTATGAAGTGAGCATTCAAGAGAGATAAAGGTTCAGTATCTTGCTTGGGTGAGTCTATACCTCATAAGGACATTTAAATTATCAATTGGGAAGCTATGCAATGTAGTACTGTAGAAATTTCCTTTGAAGGACTAAAGGCTATAAAGTCCCAACAGCAATCAAGATAGTTTTTCAACCTCTTAAATTATTTCTAAATTAGATTAATAGCTAGCTAAAGAGGGGGGATTGAAAATTGCTAGGGAAAGGACAAAAGACATTCGTCTAAACATCCTGAAATACTTTGACATCTAAGTTTCATGAGGTTAAACATAAAGATAAGCATTCTCAAGGTACCTCTGATATAAGATCAAGGATGATCTTTATGCACTCTACAACCCTATCAGGTTTTCCTCCAATAAGAACGACTCTGTCAGTGGAATGAGGACAGCATTCCTGGAAAAGCTTGATTGTTGTCTGAGTGTTCTGTATTAAGTTTAAAAAAAAAAAAAAAAAAAAAAAAAAAAAGAGGCATTAACAACAAAAAAGAAAAAAACCCAACAAAACAAAATACAAGGGAAGTAAACTAAAGAGGTTAGGAAACCTAGAAAGGTTCAGATAAATGTATCTACTTTAAGCAAATCCACCCATCTCCACCCCAAATTTTATTGATAACACTAGGACTTTTTCTTTTCTTTTTTTCTTTTTTTTTTTTGGGGGGGGGGGGGAAGAAGGGCGCAAAATAATGTGGTCAGGCCTTCTTGTGGCATTTCAACAGCAAATTGTGATAAGGAATCTCAGGGGAGAAACTCTGTAGGATAACAAAAGCCAAGCCCACTGCACCAAGTCTATATAAAAAATATTTCCAGCAAAATAAAAAGAAAATATAAGTGTCTTTACCTCTCGAAGTTCTTTGATTTTAGCACCTTTGACCCCAATAATCCCTCCTGCCAGACTCTGATGAATCAACAGTCTCAATTCGCAGTCAAAGTCGCTTCCTTTATAGTGTTGGTACTGCAGAGGGAGAGTTATAAAATTTTAGTTCCAAATTAAGGATTTCCCCAATAATACACACTTATCTGCTATAAGCATAACATACTGTTGCAGTGAGCAACCTGAATTTATATTTCAATAACTTTACCAGTTATGTGCTTATTATCCTCAATAGCCAGGCCCAAAAAGGACATTCTGCACCACCTTAAAAAACTATTTTATTTTCAGGTCCTGCAACACCATACCCACACTGCAGCCATTTAGCATGTCGCTGTTACTACAATATCATTATTAACATTCAAATAACATAATAATATAAATGACTGCAAAGCACTTTGCAAATGTAGTTAATTCCCACTGCAGCATGGAGCAGGGTCAACAGTGAGTTGTAAGACCATTCATTTATCATTTTAAGCCTTTTTCTATAGAGACCGGAAAAGCACACTATGTTAAAAATAAATTAATCCCATGGGCCAGGCTCCATACTTCAGTGGGGTTCAATGGCACTATGACATACATTTAAGCATTCCACAGCATCAGATTCGAGCGGGAGCTGGCTGGTTGCAGTGGGTGATGGCAACTGCAGGCCCTGAAAGTAGAAAAATAAGAGTAATAGGTTAAGTGTCTAGTGTGATCAGGCTATTGTCGCATATATTGGTAAAGCTACTACAACCTATTTCACATATACATTATTAAATAGCGAGAAACTGCTAACTTATACTAAGAATGTACAATGGTTTTCTCTACACACTACAAATAATTACAGAACTTAAAAATCCTTAAAACAAAAAAACAAAAAACAAAAACACACAAAAAAAAAACCCCTTCTCTAAAACTAAAGCCCATGAAGATGCATGACCACAGATATATTTTTAGTTCAGATTTACTCCGTTGTGGTCAGGCATTTTAAAAACAAACAGTATTGAGTACAGCAACCCTGTACACTATGGAGCAGGTTGTACGATGCTGCTACTGTCTCCCTACCCACTGTATTATACCCACTGTCTCCCTACCTCCCCCATTATGCCCCAAAACATACTTTAATCCCCCCAATCAACAAATACATAAAAATGAGCCTACCTCTTCCAAGGTAGGGATGATTTTCTTCAGAATTTCTCCAATTGTTTCAATATCAGCACTGATACTCAATATGCTGTCAAACATCACAAATACCAGATAGTACAAAAAAGTTGGAAAATAAAAATGAGTTTTGTGTTTATTACTAGTATTCATACAAACTTTCCAGAGAAGTAACATTTAATACTCCCCATTTAAAGTAGCCTATTTATAGGTTTACACATGCATTTTGTTTTATGCCCAATACAGATATGATAACAATATTAGGAGACTTGGAGAGAGACAGAGAGAATGGGCTCTTGGAAGGGCTCAGATTAAGTGGGCAATAAATTGTCCAGAACTGAAGCAGAGTTGAATATTTATGTTCCCCGCCACCACTAAGTTAATTAAGGATACCCTCGCTGTTACATTGGTAAAACTGGCACACCTTCTCTTAGGCAAAGTGGGGGAATATGCAAGTGGTGAACATTATATTTGGAGTAAGGTTATGGATACCAGTTAGAAATTAGATCACTAATGGGCTCTGCAAGAAAACAAATACAAATGCGAGACAAAACAAAGACAATACAAATGAGAAGTGAAGGAAAGTGAACCAGAGTTAGCATTTCATCAGAAAAAATTATGAACAGGCAATGTTGGGAAGCAAGGTGGGCCACAAAGACAGAGCGAGAGACTATTTTGGTAACAATTTGATTTACAATGCAGCAAATATGCAACACTTGAAGCTGTGCTCCTTCCATCGAAATAAAATTAGTGGATCGTTTGGGTGGGCAACTCACGGTAAAAGTTCAGTGACAAAAAGACTTAATGGGGAAAATAAGACAGAAACTTGAAAAACAATACACCGTCTAAAGGGGATACTATTTAATTATATAAAGGCAGGTAATAAAATACATTTCTCTCTTTCTAATCAGGCAGTGAGGCATAAACTGTTGGGACATACCGCTCGGGGCCACTGCTGTCTGGGACTGAAACACTGGCATTGTACTGCATTGGTCATTGGCGTTCGTGGATGTTGGCATTGGGCATGGGCATTCAATCAGAAGTTGTCAAGTATGGTACCCGTTTGGCAACGAGCACATTTTTGGGCATAGCCAACCAGGGTTTTCACATGGGCGTTCAGGGGCGGATGGGCCAACGTCATGGTGGGCAACGCAGGGGTAAGTCGATCCAGTACATGGGCAACGGAGATATATGGCCAAAAAAACAAGGAGAGGGAAAAGGGGGAAAAGCAATAAATTTTAATTTAATACAAACTATACTCATACTCTCAATTAATGAAAACAAGTTTAAGTTGTTCTGAAGACTAACACAATAATGGACTTCTCTATATCTGACTGTGGCTTAACATTTAAGGACCTTAAATGACGGTACTATTTTTTTTTCTTTTTAAGAAAACAAACGATGTTTCAGTAGCAGGCTGGCTCATGAGGGTAGACACAAAACCTGTCATGACTTAGTTTACTGAAGTTCTTGAGGAACGGGGAAATTAATAACCCAGATAATTATACAGAACATCTGGATTAAGAGGAGAGAGGTTTATAAAAAACAAAACAAAAATTCCCACACCACCAAAAACCCTAACTCTTAAAAGGCTAGTTGGTTTTCTGAAGGTTTAAAAGGCATTCCTAGATCCTAATAGGCAAGTTTGTAAAATTCTAAACAAATTTTCAAGTTCAGTTTACAGTACTCAAGAAGAACATACAAAGATCTGCGACCAAGAGAGAAATGAAATACTGTAAGTATTCAACACAAAGTTATTATTTGCCTCCATTTCTGCAAGAAAACATTTAAGAGCGTGTACATTATGAGAAAATTTTTTTAAAAGGAATTTAGGTGTAGCCAAGTCCTATAAATATGCTTACTTCTGGTGATAGCAATATTTAATGTGTCTAATCACAAGAGTCAACCCACTATAAAATATGAAGATTAAAATCATTGGCAGTGACATAAGGTTTCCCAATCTTAAAAATAAGTGCCTACTCTCTTCTTTACCCATATTTAAATCATGCAAGCTCAACATTAATTTGTGTTCCATGTGCAAGCTGTTAAAGAACAGATGGACGATTTAAAAAAGGGAATAAAAATTTCAGTTTAATCAGCCACCTGCAATGGCTTTCAGTAACATTGTAATTGATTCACATACATGGGAAATGATGCAATTAAGGGTTTTTACACTGTCGTTATTTCTAATTAAGATGTTATCCTGCCTGAAGTGAACAATTTGGTGCAAAGTTATTAGAAAGTGAAGAGGTTTAATAAAGACCTCACCACCCAACCCAATCCAAACTTTGTTAAATAAGGAATGGCAAACCTTGCAATTATCTATGAAATTGATTATTATAATGGCATGTATCTAAACTATTAAGTGATTTCTATGATGCAACTCTTTAAATTTCTACGAACATAAACTGAAGCTGGAATAATAGTTTTAAACTCTTTAATACTTACGTCTGTACGCAGAGCCTTAATATTCTTGCCTCCTTTTCCAATCACTGCCCCAGCATTCTGGAAAAAGTAAAAAGATAAATTATTCCCCTTCTTTCCTGTGTTCTCAAGTTTTAACAAAAACAATATATATCTATATCTACATATATATCTAGCCCCTCTCATTTTTCGTTGTTGTCATAGAGCTAAAAATCTATTTGGGATATTAAAAATAAACAGTAAAAAAAAAACAAAAACCACCAAGGCAGGAATTTGAAATATTCAGAATGTCATTATACACAGAACATTAAATTTCAGCACTGTTTAATTTCACAGTTCCCATCATGAAAAAAATATAAATAATAGGCACCTTTTCATTGTTACCTGATAATATCAAATAAATTGCCAAATTGCTTTCTAATAAATTTGCAATGCAATCAAGATCCATTAATGATTTAAGGATTACACACACCCTTCCCTAGTTTAAGTTGGTAAGTGGCTCAATATATAAAGGGATTTCATTTTAATTGTTAGGGCAAAAAACAAAACAAAACAAAACAAAAAAACCCCCACAAAAAACCCCAAAGCCACTACTACACAGCCTACAAGTCCTTGTGGAGCCACACAAATCTTTCATATTATTCAACTAAGGCTTTGAAGGCTTCCAAGAGGGCCAAACCAGAACTTAATTTCCACGGGAATAAAAACCATTTTCAAATTTTCAAGAATAAAACGAATACCTTGCTCTGAAGCAGAATGCGTAATTCAACCATCTCATCAGTGTTCCTAGATCTTTTAAAAGCCTGTTCCTCTTCCATATCTTCTGCAGGGCGTTTACCTAGAAATCAACAGTTCCAAATTTCAAAAGAAGCACAGCATCTTCAAAAGGCATCTTTACTCCAGTCTTAATTTAACTAACTTAACTTAAATGAAAGCAACCATATTCTATCTTAAAAGATTGATTACTAATTGTTAAGTCTGTTTTAATAAGGCTGAATTCATTCTTTGACTTTTAAATATGAATCAAAGCATGCTCCCTTTCAAGTTTCTAAACACAAAATATGGGAGTAAGGATTACTTTTAGTTCATAAATAAAAGCCAAGATGTAACTCACAGGGATCTCAGACTAAATACACAATCATAAAAATTGTTAAAATTAAAATATCTTACCAAATTCACCATTGGTTTCGGTGTTGGGGAAGGTTTCCTCTGGCTGTTCAGTTTCCATTTTCCTGGATTATATGGACACACCAATCTGTTAAAAAAAAAAAAATAAAGAAACTGGTCTATTTGGCTTATCGAAAAGTAACCTCTGTTGCTAAATATTTTTAAAAAGCAAAGACATGACTCTGTTTCTAGAACGTACCAGTTATTATATATCCTTGCAGAGCAGAACTGAAGTGTTCTGGGCGGGACCAACTGACACCCTAGTGCTGCAGTAGCCTACAAAAACCAACACAAATCAGTTTTGCCTTTTGGTTGCTGATTACTAGACACTAACAAACACTGATCTGAACACAACAAACGAAAGAGCCATATTACTTTATTTTAGGGTCTTAAGCCCTCAAATAATTGCCTTAAAAAAAATCCAAAACCATTATTAGGTTTTTCTTTTACAAAGGAAAGAACACTAAAGCCACTGGATCTAGTCCCACTTCAGAAACAAGTTATTTTTCATAATACATATGAAAGCAAAGGCACACAACACATCAGCCCATGAACAGCAATTCTGTCCCCGAAAATGGAAGAAAACTAGTTTTACAGAGCAGCCCCAAACCGCACTACTCGAGTATTTAACAGTTTACGGAGCCTTAACCACCACCAAGGTATTTTACATCAGTTACACATCCACAACCGGACTGGCGAGGGGACAAACAGCCTTTGATCTATCTTCCCTCCCAGGGCTGGCAGAAGGCGGCGACATGTGGCCCCGCTGAAAGAGAGGAGAAAAGAGAGGACAGAACAGAGAAGAGAGGAGGAGAGAGGAAGGAGGAAAGAGAGAAAAGGCGGGGGGTACCTAGGCAGCCTAACGCTGAAAAAGGGCAGCACTTATGCCGTCCCTAACGTTCGTCGACAAGACCACTCACTCTTCCAAGGACCAACTGAAACCCTCTCTTTCGGGCCCGCCGTCAGTGGTGTACGGAGGTGTGGCGGAAGACTCGGATTAAAGAATTTAAAGATCATCTATAAAAACCACCACCACGCAGACGCAGGGTCTGGCTATTAAAAAAAAAAAGACACCTAAACACGTTAATGCGGTCCTCCCATCACCATTCCTCCGGCCGCAAAAAAAAAAAATAAAATCGCTAAATATGCGCGTGACCACCCGAGGCCAACACGAACCCTCCGACTCCCGACACCGGGACCGGCTGGGGCGGAGGAGCAGGAGCGGAGACAGCCCGAGGCAAGCGCACAGGCGCCGCACGTCAACTCCCGGATCCGACAGGAAATGGCCGCCCTTGTAATGGCGACTACGTGCTACTAGGCGGAGCCGAGCGCCGACCCCCTCCCCCACCCACCACGCGGCCCCGCGATCTCATCCCCGCGCCCTCCCCCCACAGCGGGAGAGACAAAGCGACGGAGGCGGCGGCCCCGACCGCTCCACCTCCCCGCTCCGGCCGCCTCCAGCCCAGGCCGGGGGAGTCGAGGCGCGGCGGGACCCGCCAAGAGGCTGCGGCCATCTGTACCGCCCTCGGGTGCCGCCCGCCCGCCCGCCCGCCGGCCCCTTCTCCTCCCCAAACAGGAGGCCTTAGTCCCCAAGACGACACCACCGCCGCTCCTCCCGCGGGCACATGCCTCGTGGCGCCCCGAAGCCTCAAGCACACCCCAACGCGGACTGCGGATAAACGCTCAGGGAAATGGCGGAGGTGGGGGGGAGGGGAACCAGGCAACGTTTCTCCGCCGAGATTCGGCCAACCACCAAGCAGGCCCTCCCCCCAAACGCCTCCCTCCAGCGGCGAAATGGGTCTCCGACTTTCGCCCTCACGCGCCGCTCGCCCAGCCCCGCTCCTCACCGCGCGAGGTCGTCGTCCCTATGCCGCCGCGCCGCCTCAACCGGTCACAGCTAGACCGAAAACGAGCGCAGGGCCCCTCCGCTCTCCCCCGCCTCCCGCGCTCTCCTACGCCGCCGCCCGATTGGCTGCTCGGGCTCCGGCGGTGGCGCCTGGGCGAAGCTATTGGTTCGAGGCCGCGTCAATCAAGGCGCCAGAGGGGAAAGGCGACACCCCCGCCTCCCACCGGCGCCTCCCTTCAGGCTGGGAGGCCGCTAAGGGCCCGAGAAAAACCGGACTTGGTGGAGGAAGTCAACGCAGCCGTTAGGGATGCCGAATCCTCTGCCTGAGTCTGTAACGCCAAAGCCCCAATGACCCCAATTACCTATAAGGCTGTACACGAGCGGGACGTAAGCAAGACGTAGAGGTGGGTACAGCAGAGAAACAGAGGATAATGGCGTCCGCAGCGCTTTCGCCTGGAGCGCCCTCCTCCTTTCCCGTTCGCGCACTCACTGGCTGGGGGAGGGGAAGGAACTCTCGCGAGAACTCCCGCCGGTCCCGTTTGATAGTATAGGGACGGGGTGAGGCGGAAAAGGGGCGTTCTTCGGCCCGAAGAAATCCTGTGGGTTTGGAGGAGGGGCGTGCGCTCGCGGCAGATCGGGCGGGAAAGAGGCAAAATAGGATTACTAGGGCGCGCGCCGTTTCGGTTCCTGTTCTCAGAGTCGCGCGGCCGGGGAACTGCCGTTTGCACGAGGGGGAAAAGCGAGAGTCCCAGGTCGGTTGTAGGCTCAGACACATGCCACCGTCTCCTCGGGCCACACTCGCGTTTCCCTCTCTCTCCACACCCCCCTCCCGCCCGGGCTGCCCGGCTGCGGGCCGGTAAGTGCAGTCCGCCCGCCGGCCCGGCCCTCGCCGCGGACACTCGCTGTGGGTAACGGGCCGCAGCCCCCGTTGGGCGTGGGCCCGGCGGGGGGACGCCACGGGCGGGTGGCGACCGGCCATCAGCTCGGGCGGGACCCCGGGCTCCGCCGGCGGGGCTGGGGCGCTGGGCCTCTGAGTCCCGGAGAGCTTGTCCCTTTGGTTCCGACTTGGAGCCAGCACGTCCGGAGGGGATCCAGGCGTCTGTCTACAGTGCTCCCCGTTATAAAAAGACCTTTCATTCTACTCTCTTTTTTTCCTTCTTCTTAATGGGGCCTGCGGTGTGAGCCCTCTGTAGTGTCGTCGCTGCATTTGATCTGGAAAGTTTCTGGAAGTAGTAACTGCATTCATCTAAAGGGAATGCAAACCTCAAACTACGCGTGCAGCTCGTTCACCTAGGAAAGAGCTTACGGGGTGTCGAGGTATTCGGCAGTGATCAAAACATCAAAACTTCGCCCTCCAGTGTTACCGGTTCAGCTATCTGTCCAGTTGACACTTGGCTTTGTGTTAGGTTATTTCTGAGGCCCCTGTGCCCAGCTTTGGTGGTCTCTTTTCTTAAGGGCTCCCCGAATCCTGACAAACCCGGGAGATGGCCCGGTGTGGTGGTACCCAGTTTTCACATCACCTTTCTTCAACCCTCCTGGCTTCTTCTGCAACCCTAACCTCACACTTTAAAAGTGTTATGATTTACACATAAAGCTAAATCCACCATTAGTATACATTTACATATGTATGTATTTATAATGATGATTTTGTGCTGATTCATTATATATTGTAACTTGATTTCCCTCTTGAGTAATTTGCAAAATAGATGTAAACAGCACCTATTTTACACGGCTATGATTCCGACTGCCCTTTATCTTTTACTCGCCCAATTAGGAAGAAAACTCAGAGGGAACTGAGGACTTCACGAAGCACCACTTAACTGGCCGGGAGGATAGAGAGCCTAGTTTCTGGGGTTGTGGAATTTATAAAAGGTCTCTAAGTGGTAATATAGTTTTTCTAATGTTCCCCCCCAGGAAGAGTTGTAAGTCTTGTTCAGAGGTAAAACCTCACGTTTTGGTTTTATTGATACATAGTTAAGATTTTCATTAAGTGAACAAGAATTGAAGAATATGTGTTGGTCGGGAATACTTGGGTTGTAGACATATGTCCATTAGGATTAGGATCTGAAACATTTAATTGGATCTGTCATTTAAAATCTGGGACATTTCACTAACACTAATGGGCACTTTTAGGGGCATTGTACTAATGATACTTTCTTTTTTTTTTCTTTTTCTTTTTTTTTTACACTGTACTAGGATAGAATGAACCACCTCAGTAGCTTCTGAGGCCAATACATTTTTATCACCACAATTACTTTAGCAAAATGATGCTTTCTTTTAAACTAATATTTCTGTTGCCAGCCATCATTTTCTGCCTTGATCAGTAGAGATGAGGAATAAACAGGAATTCAAAGTAAGCATCCCCATCCAGGAACTTCTTCCAATTTTATTGTCTTCTGACTGGACCCTAATTGGTGAAAGCTGTTACCTTTTCCAAATGCCATTGTTCCATGTTTTTGTTTTTTTCCCTTTTCCACTTGTTTTCTTTCTTATCTCTTAAAATTTATTGTAGGTTTACCCTTTAAATTACAGGAAAATCTGTCTTTTCACTATCCTTTCATCCTCTATTGTTATCATCCAAACTATATCATTACCTATGCTCATTCAATGATTTGCCAAATTGTTGATACATTCAATGGCTCTTGTTTTGTGTAATGAACTATATGATCACTTTGGATTCCCAATGAAATCAGAGCTAATATTACTTAGGTATGGGGTTTACTTTTATTATTTTTTAAAAAATAAAAATGCTACTGATTTTGAGAGAAAGAGAGAGATGAGAGAAACATTGATCTGGCTCCCCCAATGGGGATGGAACCCACAATCTGGTTATATGCTCTGACTGGGAATCAAGCTGGAGACCTTTTGGTGCACAGGCTGAGTTCAACCAACTGAACCACACTGGCCTGGGGGGATTTACTTTAGATAAGCTAATATAATTGAGATTGTATATTGTCTGTCTGGATGATTATTTAAAATATCATAGCTAACATTTCCTGAATTCCCCACCAGGTGCCAGATCTTATGCTGGCAGTTTAATTGTTATTACAATTCTGTGGGTAGGTTGTTATCTTTGTTTTATGGATCAGGAAATTAAGACTAAGAGAAATTAAAGAACATGTCTGAGGTCACATAGCAGACTTGGGATTCAGACTCCTAGACCTATTCCCTTTCTGTTTTTTTTCTTACATTAGGTTATGAAAGATCCACAAATA